CCCGTTGCCGGTCCCGGTCCGGTGCGGGCGCGACACTGAGGGTTGCGATCCGTTGCCGGTCACGAAAAAAGACAAAAAGGAAAAAAAAAAAAAAAAGAAACATCAGATTGTACCCCTGAAATATGTACAATTGCAATATGTCAATTAGATTTAAAAAAAAAAAAAGAATGAACATAGCAGTATTGTTTGTAACAAACAAAAATTTAGATATGGTTTAGATATTCATCATTAGGTTGCTGGACAAATATGAGGGGTCTTTTAAAAGTTCTTGGAAAGATTTATATTATCTTTTAATTCCATTTTTCCGCTAACTTTTTGAATTACCTTCATATGTATAATGGAATATTATACAGTAGTGAAAAATGAGTGATCTAGAGCTAACTTTTAGACATGGATGAATTCCACAAACATGGTGTATGTAAAAAAGCAAACTTCGGGAGAATTGATATAGTATGATTATCATTTTTATGAAAATTAAAACCATACTAAACAGTAATATACATTGCCCAGGCATACATGTATATGTAAAGTATAAAGAAATGTAAGGGGTATATTCTATTCTTTACCTTCACCAAGCTGTCAAACCTAACTTTACCAATAGTGGTACAAGCTGACGTTGTGTGCCTTCTGATGTGAAAGGATTAAGTTCACACCATCACCTCTGTAATATTCTTTCCAAAAATATTTAACCTCAGTGTAGGCATGTGGAAACTATAAATCCAGAATCCAGGGATAGTCTATAAGACAGTAGGCCTTGACTGTTCAAAAACACCAATGTTATAAAAACACAAAGCTGGGGAATAGTACTAGTTTAAGAGACTAACAACCAGATACAATGTGTGCAGTTAGATTCTGTCTTACATTGGGCAACAAACAGATATAAAGACCTTTCTAGAATAATTAGATACATGTGAATATTAACTATATATTAGATTATATTATTGAATAAGTGTTAATTTTCTTAGGTGTTGTGAAGGCATTGTGAAATGTAGGAAAAAGTCCTTGTTCTTAGCATAAGCTTTCTAAATTATTGAGGAATGAAATGCCTTGCTATTTGACATTTTCAAATAATTTAGGAAAAAAATTAAATGTTTATATAAAGCAGGTACAGCAAAATTTTAGCAGTTGGTAAAGGTAGGTGAAGGATATATAGATGTTCATTGTATTACTATTCCAACTTTTTGGTAGGTT